CATGTTCCATGTTCAGTACTGCCCTTCCCTCAGGAGCAGGGCTCAGCAAATTGCAGCTGGAGAGCCAAATCCAGCCGGTGCCTCCTCTTTTATAAATAAACGTTTTGGGACACAGCCACACCCCGTTGTTTAGATATTGGCTGCGGCTGCTTTCCCACAGAAACAGCAGAGCTGAGTGTTGCAACAGAGACCATCTGGCTGCGGAGCTGAACTATTTACCCCCCGGCCTTTTACAGGAAAGGGTCGCCGGTCCACGCTTGAGCTACTCTAAGTGGTGTCAAATATTCCTCTCCCAGCAGTTCTGCATACAGAATGTTCATCTTGGCTAAGTTATTTAACTACGCGGAGCCCAATTCCTTGATCTGTAAATTGAGATAATAATAATTACCCCATTATGTTGAATGCAGGGTTTGGCAAACGTAGGTTTACAGTTGTAATACAAATAAATAATACTAATAAATAATAATACAAGAATAAACTTTCGCATGCTCACAACTGTAAACCTACTTTTGCCCACCCTGCCCACCCCTGTACTAGATAAAATAGCTCTCATAGCATCTACCATGGTATTGGCATATAGGAGGCTGTCCCTAAATCACTCTTGCTGTTATTGAAATTTTTTATTTATATCTGACTCTGACTTTTAGGGGATTTGCTGACTGAGGGGAGGTGGTCTAAACCTGTTTGCAAGTGTAGACAGACCCATATCCAGAAACTGTAGCAACATCCCTGCCACTGATGGATGACCAACAAAGCCATTCTACTGAGTTCATCTTTGTGGGGGCTGACTCCAGGTAGTTGCTCTTGGGGGTGCGAGATGTCAGGACTGAGAGGCTCCTCTCCATTTCCCAGGCCCCAGGCCCCCCACCCCCTGCATGCCACCTGGGGTACCTCTGGTGCTCCTTTATAAACTCCACGAGCTCTTCTTCTGTGTAAGGTTTGTCAGGGATGGCAATGGGCTCGTCCATAAATGGCTCGTAGAAGTCAACCTCATTCATCTTCAAGGACAACTTCTTCGCAACCTGTAACAATTAGAAATAAGACAAGAGCTTCCTTGAATGCTAGTCTAGAGAGGCAGTGATGGTCCATCTATAAGGCGTGCATATTCTCTGGCAAAGACTTGAGAGGGTATGTACAGTTTTAACGCAGATGTTGTAGTGATAGGAACCCCTCACCTAAGGCCTGGCTGGACCAATCCAAGAAGGACAGATAGGGAGGAGAAAACCTCTCTGGCCAATGAGGTCCAAGCAGGGGCAGGAAGCAGGCGGAATGAAAAGTGGGAAATCTAATTCTACAGTCACCGTCACTCTACTGTGTTTGCCAGGCTGGAGGAGGACGCAGAGGTCAGCAGAGATGCTCAGTGTCCTTGCAGGTATGGATTGAATCGAATCAACTGGATAGAACAGGCAATTGACAGGAACCATTTAAAGCATATACTCAGAATCAGAGGCCCGCCCATTCATCCCCTATCAGGGCATAAACCTACTGTTACTCAGACTGAAGCATGGCCCTACAGTTAGTTGTCTCTCGGTACAGGGCTTGTGTGATGGTTTCTCAGGCTCTGGGAACTGTCCCCGTGGTTACCAATCAGAAGGTGAACAGCCACCCTGGCTTGTCCAGAGTGGAGGGGTTCCCTGGATTTAGACTCGGGGTGCTAAAACTGGATAGTACCCTAGTACCCAGCAAGCTAGCTGGGGTTGTTCTCCCCTGTACCAGAGAGGGCACTCAGAGCGAGACGTAGCCTGGAAGGCATCGCCTCTCTGATTAAGGGGCCCCACTGCCTTGTCAGGGCAGAATGGCTGCTGTGTTCCCTGCAGACCTGCTGGACTCAGGCCTCTTTTTGTGAAATGACTCGAGAGGCCTGGAATGTGCCATGCTTGGAGAAAACCAAACGCTATTCTTTTCCAGGTCAGAGCTGTGGGCCAAGAGAGCACAGAGATGAACAGTGGTTCCCTTGAACTAAAGAGGAATTGCTGAGAGCTGCCGCCCGGCCACCGCGATAACCCACAGCCCAGTGGCCCGGGGCCGCCAGGACCCAGTGGGAGGAGGGGAGCTGGTGTCACATAAGCTCTTACACAAGGAGGTCCATTCTGAGGAAACATGGGTCTGCCTATGGTTTTTGTCCTCGACTGCTGTTAATTCCAGGTCACCATAGTCCGAAGGACATTTCTGACAGTACTTAACAAAGAAACTGGCTTTCGACTCAGAGCTAAAGGAAACAGGCCACGTTAAGAGCCATAGTCAGTCAAAGGAGATTTTGCGGTCATGTTAATTTTGTTTTAAGGGACATGGAGGTATGGGTTGTTGTTTTTTTCTTCTTACTCTTTTCCTCTTCCATGGGGCAGAGGGTGCTATGGATGGATGATGGGCAAGGAGCAAGCGGGCAGGGCAAATAGCAACTCTACACCCAGTGTCTGCGTTTACACACAGTTCTTCGAAGAGCTGAGCTTGAAAATGGCATTCAGTTGTGGTTCTCTGAGTTCACTTACTACTTATTTTAAGAACCAGGAAGAAAAAAGTAATAATAATAACCACATAGAGTGCTTGCCATGTGCCAGGCACTGTTGCAACGCGTTTTAGGCTGATACCTTTATGAATCCTCCCTTTGTATCAGGTAAAAGCTGGTATTATACTTATTTTACAAATGATGAGCCCGAGGTGCAGTCTGAGTATGCAATTTGTCAGGATTATCTACCCGAGGGGATAGAGCCAGAATTCAAACCCCGTTTGCCAGTACACCAGCCCTCCCTAGAAAATCACCTTCTCCTTGACCCTGTGAAGAAAGCTGTCTGGCCCCATAGATATTCCGCTGCTGCCGCACTTGTTTAGTCAGATGTTCCCTGTTGCTCTTGGACATGCTCTCATCAATTCACCCCATCGCAGGCGGCTGGAATGCAGGCTTCCCAAAGGCAGGAAGGGGCTCATCGGAAGCTCTGGTGCACCCACGTGTGTGAGTGTGCATGTGTGTGAGTGTGCATGTGTGTGTGTGTGTGTGTGTGTGTGTGTGTGTGTGTGTGTGTGTGTTGGGGGAGAGGTTCTCTGGTTCTTGGTTGCCAGTGTCCAGGTCTGCAGTGTGGAGACCATGCGTGTGAGGTTGGATTGTGATGTTCTTGGGTTTAATTCTGGGGATCGCTGAGCATAATTTTCTCCTGTTTGCTACATCCTCACCAGCACGCACCATGGGGGGCCCTCGCCTTGTATCTCAGATAATCCCCTTTTTTTATTATTAGTCTTTTATTTGTATTTTGGGTGGTAAGGACTGAAGGAGATTTGACTGATTGAGATATTGATTCATTCATTGATTCAGTAAATATTTAATGGGGCTTACTGTCTCTGAGACACTATTCTGGGACCAGACCTGGTTCATGGGCAGGAACAATGATACGAGAATGGATTTTACTCCTGAATGCTTAGGAGGTCCATATAGTGAGTTCTTTTATGCCTTTAAAAAACTAGTTGGAATAGATTTTGCCAAAGATAAGAAAACTACAAAGCAGAATGGCCATTTTTTGACATTGGCAAGTGTATGGATTTTGATACAGATGTTTTTCTACATGTTAGCAAGCCTTTCATTGTTGCAAATGAAATCAGTTTAATGCATTTAGGCCTTTTCAATGTCTATCTTCTCCATCAACTTTGTTTAGATAACCACTGCTTCTTTTGGTCCCCATATGGTTCAAAAAATGATTCTGCTTCTCACTGTTCACTCCAAGAAAGGGACAGGTCGCTGGGAG